TCTTTGATTACATGATTATACGGATTATCAAGCTTATAGGAACATTTTAAGTAGGATGTGCTTATAGATTTCTGTTCTGCCCCCCCTTGTCCTACACCAAAGCACACCGAGACAAAGATACTTCAAGGATTTATTAACACACAGACTAACCTTGGCAGCAATCCAGCCTGCCAAGCTAGCCACGAGAGTTCTCCAGCTCTAGTAAACCCGTTGATTCCTGCAACAAGCGTGTGCAAAGCCATTCCTTTTATAGTCTTGAGAGGAGCATAATTACCACCAGCTGAGTTCACTTATCTCCTGTAACTGCGCAACTATTCTTTATGCCTATTAGCCCTCCGTTGCTGGGCATCCAGGACCAACTCCTTTGTCTCCTCCCCACTGCTCCAAGGCTCAGGCACCTCCTGGTGGCCAACCAGCCTCTCTGTGCTCTTCTCGGAGTTGGAACCCTGTCCAGGGTCCTCCACATCCTCTAGAGCCGACTCATAGGGCCCCTCACTGTCAGAGTCTGGTGGCAGCTCCAACAGCTCCTGCTGGGCCACAACAGATTTCTATCTCTAGCATATTCCCCTAATGAATAAAAATCCTATACAATTTATACTATAATTTAATTGCATTATTGGTGTGCAAAATGTGTGAACTATTTATTCAATCATAATCTTTGAGAGTAGCTGAATTTTATTGCTATATTATAATTTATATTACATATTTGTTATTATTGTACTATTATTTTATATTTCCTTTTGCTTTGAGAATGTAAGCAAAATTTGATAATGTAGCAGCAGTAAAAGGAAAATTGCTTGCATGCTGATGTCTGTGATTTATTAAATGAGAAGGAATTGGGCCTTAGGTTTTCTTTCTAACACAGGAGAATGAAGCACAAATCTAACTTGTCAAACTGAAAGGTTTTAACTGAATTTTGCACAGATAGTATAGACCAATTGGCTTAAGCCTGACCTGCAGATTTTGGATTAATATTACAAGGAGTGGACCATGTTCAGTTTTACAAATTAGCTTTTCCGCATTTAAGGTTTTGCTAATTAATAATTAAATATCTGTAGTATTTTATGCCTATCACTTCTGAGATTTAATAAAACGAATGAAGAATAAAATGTAGCCAAAATTAACTCACATTATCTCCATCACTTGTCTTAAATACCATAATTACATTTTCAACAATACTTCTTAAATTCCAAATTACAGATATTTAATATCTGCATAATTTTGTAAATATTATGCAAAGTTTCATAGAATACAGGTTTACATTGACATCAGCTCACCACCTGTTTTTTTATTTTTAATACAACACAGGGCAACAGCTGTCTCCTTGGATTCTTATGCCCACAGGAAAGCAATACTCACAGTGTTCATGGCATCGTGCCAAGAGCTGTAGGTCATCTATATGATAGTAATCATATCCAGACGTTCCCAGCACTTCAAAAGGCAAATATCCTATAATTGGTGGGGCTCTGTATTATGATAAATAATTTTGTTTGAGTTTTGCAAATATGAAGAACAGTATTTGAGTTCTGTGGTCCAACAGAGAGAATTCCAACATACAGATGTGCGTGTCAGCACAACTGACACAAAGGGACAGATGTGTTATTGCTGTGTACTACCAGAATACAGGAAGAATATATACAAATACCTTGCAAAAACCTTACCAAATCATTTTTAAGTATTAGAATAAGGAAACAAAGCAGAGAAGTTAAAAGCAAAATCAGTGGGAAAAAGTTAACTAATTTATGACTGGGAGCAATACAAGCTACAAGACTGGTATCAAACAAAAACAACTAAATTCCAAGTTGAATTTTAAAAAGAAAAATACAATGATAAGGAAAAACAATGTAAATAGTTTTAGGCAACACTATTGCAATAGATGGGGAAAGTACTGATAGAATCTGATAGCCATCTCTTAAAGTTTTTTAAAGGACGATCCTTTCTAATTAAGGGTAAAGGAAGACTATCATATGCCCTGTCTATATAATTTGATATCACAAATTGAAAGACAAGAAAATGTGTGGTAGGGGCTTTTTGGTTGTGATTGTTGATTTAAAAACCAAACATTAAGAGTGTAGGTAACAATCTCATATACAATTTTGAGACTACCATATTCTAAAGGACAGACATAACTCATTAGAAACAGGATGCATAAAAATTAATAATGGTTCCATTATTAAGACTATGCAGTATTACCTGGGTCAAAACTGAAAGTTATAATTAATCAAAATTAAAGTGGGAGCTAATTTTTTACAATCTGCCTTCCTCTGACAAATCTTTTGCATCATTTTCTGCCTACCCAGTTGGCAAACTTATAAATGTTCAAAATAAATAAAAGAATACAATTTTGGAGGGTGCCCAATTCTAAAGAGCAGCTTTTGAAAGATAGGCTACTTATATGAATAAGTTGAAGTAGCAAATACTTGGTCCCATGTTTCTCCTAATTAGGTTACCTTGAAAAATTCAATTCAATTCAATGTGATTTTTTTGATTATTTAAGAAAATATAACCTTGTGAATACAGAATTATATTTTTAAATTTTTTTTCTTGATTCTAGTTTTTGTATTAACTTTAGGAATTCTGTATATATCTATATTCTGCATATTGTCTGACTAAAAGACCAATGCAACCACATTGGTTCATTTTCTTAAAATATACATTCTACTTTATATCAGCATATACAAGTAGCCCATTCAACAGACATCATATACTTCCAAAATTACAAAAATTAATGTTGACTAACAAATGTTTGATTTAGTGATGATTTTAATAACGTATGCCATTATGCAATTATTTATAGAACAACCAAAGCACTACTTTATAAAACTTAATTCATGTCAACAACAATAATCAGGGGAGGGGGCGCAGTTTATACTAACCTGTGATCCAGAAATAAAAATTTCCATTCCAAACTGTGTCTTGAAGTGAATTCCTCTAAAGATTCTTCAACTATGCACATTTCCTACATTAGAATTAAATTCTGTTAAGTGGCAGTAGTGCCTTTTCTCCCATTCCATTCATTCCTTAAAGCACAGGAAAGAATGAAAATAATTCCGGTATGTATGTATGTATGTATGTATGTATGTATGTATGTATGTATGTGTGTGTGTGTGTGTGTGTATACACACACACACACACACACACACACACACACACACACACACACACACA